ACGTGTGCCCGTCCTTTCCCTCGTTCTCGGCGAAGTACTTGCGCAGGTAGGCAGGCGTCTGGCCCTTGGTCTGCAGGATGTACGGCGTGATGGTGCTGGTGTGCTCGTCGACGACCATGAGTGCGTAGCGGTGCCCATCGACGCCTACCACACCCTTGGGCGACCAGAGGTCGTAGTGCGACGAGCGCCCGAAGCGAGTGGCCAGTGGCCGGCCGGTGCTGCGCCGCGCGTGGTACTTGGCGTTCGCCTGCAGCGCGGCGTCGTCGAGGCCCTCGTTGCGGTCCATCTTGGAGAGGTCTGGCACGCCGTCCGCGATCTTGCTGAGATCCTTTAGCGCGTCGCCGGAGATGCACAGGGCGTGCCGCCAGAAGGTGCCATCCGTCGGGCGCCGCCCCGGCTTGCCGCGCACGATGGCCTTGGCGGCGTTGGCGCCGACGGATGCGCCGAGCGGCATCAGGTGGATGTTGAAGTCCTCCCCGAAGTAGATGGTCTGCCCGGAGGGGTAGTTGAGGCGTGGTGGGCAGAGGTCGAAGCGGACCACGATGTTCTGCGCCTTGCACTCCTTGACGCTGACGAGAGGCATGGCGAGTCCGGGCGCGTACAGCGCGTTCACCCACTCGGTGTTCACAACCTTGGTGTCCTGCGGCTTGGTCGGGTCAGCCAGCGCGAAGGCGTACGCGGTGCCGACGCCCTTCGCCTTGAGGTAGTCATTGTTTGCGCAGCGGATGTAGATGGGCTTCTCGGGCTCGCGCCACCCGCGAGGGAAGTAGTCGGGCGTCGGGAACATGTTCATGCCGGCCTTGGAGTCGACGCCAGCGGCATACGATCCCGGCATGTTCACACCGGCGGTCGTGTCGTACGCGTCGACGACCTTGACATGCCCGACAAGCGCGTGTGCCTGCATCGCGTCCATGCGCGCCACGTACATGGCGAGCATGATGCACGTGTACGAGAGGACGAGCGGGACCGTCTTGGGCACGTCGATGTTATTCACCGCGCGGAACATGTCGCCCGCGACCTTGCGGTAGATCGGCTGGAGCGGGTCCTCCTCGATGGCGTACTCTGCTCCGCCACCTGAGCCAGTCGCCGGCCCGGTGGACAGCTCGAGGGGTAGTGCGGTGACGGACTCGACCATCACGCCCATGTTCGAGGGCTCGTCCACGGCGTCGGCCACAGGCGTGCCGATCGAGGCAGGCGAGCCCATGTAGACCGGGATGAGGCACGCGAGCAGGACGAGTAGGATGGAAGCGCCGATGTACGGGCGAGGCAGCGCGGTGACGAACGAGGTGAACTTGACCCACAGCCCGCCGCGCGCCCGTGCCTCCGCCGCATTGCGCGCCGCCGTCTTGGCCTTGAGGATGGCGAGCGTGTCGGTGGGGTTGGAGTCGGGGAAGGTGTCCTCGACCTGGTCGGTGCCGACGCCAGCGACAAAGCCGCCGACGATGCCGTCCGGGTCGAACGTGCGGGTGACAGAGTCGGCCAGCGCCGCCCGCACCTCCTCGTGGTTGGCCGCGGTGGAGTCCGACTTCTTGGCGAAGGGGTCTTGCGGGAGGGTGCGGCCGGGGGACTTGGCGCACACCTTCTTGTACGAGGACTGGGCCATGCGCACCTTCGCCTCGTGGTCGATGCGGTCGGGGAGTTCCTCGAGCACCTTGGCGACAGGGACCCCCTTGCAGATGAGGTCGCCGATGCACTTGCCACCGTGCAACCCATTGCAGTGGGGGCACGGCTTGCGCCCAGCGGCTGCGCGGCCGCCGCGGTCCCCGCCGCCCTTGTCGGACTTGATCTGCGCCTGGAGAGCGGCGACCTGGGACTCGGCGGCCGCGAGCTTCTCCTTGAGCACGCCTTGCGAGGCAATCTCCGCCTCGAACGCCGCCTGCGCAGCCGCCTTGGCCTCGTTGGCGCGGTCCGCGTTGTCTTGGTCGAGGATGCCCTGCATCGCGAGCGTGGACGCCTTGAGGCCGTACGTCTTGCCCGATTGCGCGGCGAGTTGGCGCTGCATGCCGATCTGCACGCGCATGTTTGCGCCGAGCGTGGCCCCCTTGGCGGCGATCGCGTCGAGGATGTATTCCTCGATCACCTCGTCGGGGAGGTGCCACTGGGAGCCCTTGAGGAACTTGTTCGCCAGCTCGATGCCCGTCTTGAACTTGGCGAGGCTCGCGGACGTGAGGTCCTTGAGAGCGTCGGGGGAGTACGCCTTCTCGAGATCCGCGCGCAGCGCCTTCGTGCGCACGTTCTTGGAGTTCGTGTCCTCCGACTCGATGAGCGACTTGATCGCCGCGATGCCCTTCTTGATGTCGTCGTAGTGGTCGGCGTCCTCGTCCGCCAACATCTCGGCCAGCGTGTCGTCGTCCTTGACGGCGTTCTGCAGCGCACCGTAGAGTTGGCGCGACAGAGTCACCGCCAGGTCCCCGAAGTACTTGTCGATGATGGCCGGGATGAGGCCGTCCGCAGTGCCGATGTTCTTGTAGCGCACGTGCAGCGCGACCGCCTCGGCCTCGCGCTCCGCGCCCGGCCGGATGGTGCCCACCTCGATGATGTCGAGGAGGTACTTGTGTTGCTTCGCCGCGGTCCGCAGGTTGCGGAACCACTCGTTGAACTCCCGCTCGGAGCTCTGTTTGTAGGCCGGAATCACCAGCTTGTCCGTCGACGACATGTTGTCGTAATGTCCCGGGGATCGTTGCCCCGCCGCCACCAACTGTGAAGGTCTTCAGTGACCACTCACAAGCTGTTCCAAGGCCCGACAGAAATGTACTGTCAAAACTTCGTTCAAACAAAAGTCCTGGCCCGCGGCCCCCACACCCACAATGACTATCAATCCAGGCTGCGGGTGAAGGGCAAAACCGCGCCGCTGCAGAACGGTTTTTTGCAAAACCGCGCCGCAGCGGTACGAAACTGCGCAGATGCAGTCCAGGGGTGGTAAGGACACTATGTGTGTGTGTGTGGCCGTAGACTAGACGGCTGCGCGGTCGTCGGTCTTCAACAAGTACACCGTCTCGCAGCTGGCGCGTTGCATGGCTTGCCCCGACGCGAACATCGAGGCCGCCGCCGAGCGCTGCCTCATCTACCTCATCGGCACGCAGGACCTCGGCCTGCCCTCCACTACGAGCGCGTCGCCGACCCCAAGCTCTTCGGCTGCTCCGACGCGAACTGGTGCACCCGCCAGAGCACCTCCGGCTGCGCCTTCAAGATCGGCACCGCGATCATCTCGTACTTCTCCAAGAAGCAGGGTCACATCTCCCTCTCGACGTTCGAGGCCGAGATCAACCTGCGGACCGCGGCGAAGCAACACAAGTACCTCCTCGACATCATCGAGGAGGGCACCATCCGGCCGGGCTCGGAGCGCGAGGCCGAGGCGGTCGCGCTGCACGTGCGCTACAAGAACATCGGCACTGCGGACGGCCTCATCCCGGCCATCATCGACAAGTACTTCGGGGACCTGGCGGTGACTCTGTCGCGCCAACTCTACGGTGCGCTGCAGAACGCCGTCAAGGACGACGACACGCTGGCCGAGCTGTTGGCGGACGAGGACGCCGACCACTACGACGACATCAAGAAGGGCATCGCGGCGATCAAGTCGCTCATCGAGTCGGAGGACCCGAACTCCAAGAACGTGCGCACGAAGGCGCTGCGCGCGGATCTCGAAAAGGCGATCTCCCCCGACGCTCTCAAGGACCTCACGTCCGCGAGCCTCGCCACGTTCAAGACCGGCATCGAGCAGGAGAACAAGTTGCTCAAGGGCTCCCAGTGGCACCTCCCCGACACGGTGATCGAGGAACACATCCTCGACGCGATCGGCGTTGGGCGGGAGGGCGCGGGGCGCTCGAGGTGTGTGTGTGTGTGTGTGTGTGTGTGTGTGTGTGTGTGTGTGTGTGTGTGTTGGTTTGTTTGTGCGAGGGCTGGGCGGGGCAGGGCAGGGCGGCGGCGAGCGGCGAGCGGCGTGTCGGCGAGAGCGGCGACGAAGAGAGGCGATGGTGACGTACACGGTGGCAGTGTTCACGGCAGCAGCGCCCCGCGCGGCGGCGGCGGCGCCCTGAGTGAGGCAGACTGCCCTGCACAGCCTGCTGGGAACGCTCCCGACGAGCGGCGCGCCATGCGGGCCCGCCGCGGGCGATGCGGGCTGCGAGCCGACACGCGTGTCGCAGGCGTAGGCAGCACTGGCGAAGCGAGGCGGCTGGCGCCGGCCCCGGAGGCGGCTGCAGTAAGAGCAGCGAGGCAGAAGTCACTGTCCAAGGCGTACTGAGCAGGCTGCCATCGAGCAGCGCGCCATGCGGGCCTGCCGCCGGCGACGATATTGGGAGCCGACAGGCATCGAAGAGGTAGGTACTGAGGAGGGCCATCGCGCCCGAGGCGGTCCGCGCCGGCCCTGCAGGCCGTCTCAGAGCCTGGCGAGGCTGTACAGAATGCCAAGAGCATACTGGGCAGGCTGCCGTCGAGCGACGAGCCATGCTGGCTCGTCGCAGGCGATGAGGTCGAGGAGCCGATCGGAGCGTCGCAGAGGCTGCCGACCACTGCCGTTCGCCCTCGGGCCCAGGGGTGGAAGGCAAGCTCTTCCTGGCGTTTCTGGCGAGCGTCCAGACGTCGCAGAGCATCCGGCAGGCGCGCAGCGACCCAAATTTTTGCTCACCGCACGGCCGTGCGAGCCGTCGGTCGGTGGTGATGGTCGGCGTCGGCGCGCGCCGCCCAACGCGCGGCGGTGGGCGTCATGTGGCGGGGCGGTCGGACCAGACATTGTGCGAATTTCGGCGGTTTCCGGCGCTTCCTTGCCAGGTCCCGGTTTGGAAGATGCCGAAGTCCTGCATTTTCGACGCGCGCGCCCTCTCCGCGTGCCCCCGGATCGGCTCGCCCCTGCTGTCCCCTCGCTCAGTATACTGTATAGATCTGGGGCGGAATGTCAATGTGACTTAGACTTAGACCGACTTAGACGCACTGTACGCGCGTACCGGCTCACTAAGCTACTACGATCACCGACGGTGGTGGACGGCTCGCGCTCACATACCATGTCACGTGCATCACGTCATGAATGCGCTGTCGTGCGCCCGCGCTGCCGTGCCCACCCTCCGGCAGTTGCGCTCGTACCGTACGGCGGATGGACCAGCCGGAGCCTGGTCGATTACTTCATCACTTTTTCCAACGACGTGCTGGGCGCCCTCGGCGCCGACATCGAGTACCTGGTGACCTTCAACGAGCCGACTATCTTTATCATGCTCACGCACTGCTCAGGCATATGGCCTCCGGGCCCTAAGAAGTCTACGGCTCAGGGTCTCCAGTGCCTCACGCCCGTTGTCGGCGACTACGCTCGTGCCATTGCGAACATCGAAGCCGCGCACCGAGCGGTTTACAGAAGCTTCTCGAACACAGACCTTCAGATCGGCGTGGCCCACAACGTCGGGTTCAACGTGGCCGAGCACGTCTGGGACGAGGCGGCGACGGCGGTGGCCAAGGCGCTGCTCAAGTTCTCCTTCATCGACTCGATCAAGGACTCGCTCGACTTTTGCGGCCTCAACTATTACGGCAAGGAGATCACCCGGGGCGGCTCGGTGGAGCTTGGAGCACCTGGAGCGCAGCTGGCAACCTCCTCCCCGCTGGACTGGAGCTCTGTCTCATAGGTGGCCATCCGGGACGACGAGGAGTACTCCGAGTCGGGCCGCGTGGTGTATCCGGCTGGGCTCTACCTGCTCCTCAAGGACTTCCACGACCGCTACCGGAACGACGCGCGCTCAACCATACAGCGCTATATCATCACCGAGAATGGCATTTCGGACGCGAGTGACGTGATGCGGCCAGCCTACATCATCGAGCACCTCCTCGCGGTCGCGCAGGCGCGGCGGGAGGGCGTTCCCGTCGCGGGCTACTTGCACTGGACGGTGATCGACAACTGGGAGTGGGCAGACGGCTACTGCCCAAAGTTCGGCCTCGTCGAGGTTGACCGCCTCAACGACCTTCAGAGGCGAAAGCGCCCATCCTTTCACCTCTACCGCCAAATCGCAACATCGCGGCGCATCACCGGCGCGCAGCGGCAAGAGGCGTGGCGCGCCGTGAAGAATGCGGCCGAGACGGGCGCATCGCACCTCTTTTGCCGAGCCAGCGATGGCCAGACGGGCCTGGACGAGCCGGTCCCACGGCCCTTCTCGGCCAAGGACTGGCGCTTTGACGCGAGGCATCTCCACGAGGAGTGGCAGTGGCCCTTCGGGGCCGAGAAGCTGAGCGAAAAGTGGTGGTTCAGCTCGGATCCGCCCAGGCCCTAGCGTTGTACATATAGGTCCCACTCGGGTCCCCAGTCAACCCAGTACTGCAGAATGCCCTCGCGTATGCGGCTCTTGAGCACCGCGTGCACCTGAAACTGGTCGTCGCCGAGGTGCCCAGCGGCCCCGCCCCAGACCGCCTCCGGGTCCACCTCCATGTTCTCCACCGCGGCGCCGACTCGAGCGACACGGTCGGCAGGAACCGTCTCATCCCACCTCGCCGCCCAGCCGAGGAAGTGGACGCGGTACTCGCCGTCCTCGGTGACGTGCACAATCTTGGCGCCGTACCACTTCCCGAACCTGTCGCGGGCTTGGACCTCATCGCCGGCAGAGAAGCTGCCGATGCCGCGCACACGCGCCGAGTCCACCCACTCGTCGCACCTTGCGTTCCAGCCGTGGTAGTGCACCTTGTAGCTCAGGCCGCTGCTCTCCTCGAGGCTCTGCTTTATTACCGCCTGATACCACACCCCGTTCTGCTCGGCATCCACCTTTGTGCCAGCGGCCAGTGGCATGCCCCCCCGCACGCTCTGGGGACTTAGACGAATCGAGCTACGCAAATCGCGACGATTTTGCTAGGGCACCGTCACAAGGTGCCACAACACGAATCGTGCTAAGTCTAGGCGGTGTCAATAGCGGACCCGGTGTTGCAAAATGATAAATGTACAAAATGGCTGAGAGGTGAGAGAGAGCGGTCACACACACACACACACTGATATAAACGCGCGTCTCGATACGTGTGTCTCGAGAGAGATCAGATAGACACCCCATGAGATACTGCTGTACACCCAAAGCAGCCGAGCGGGCGGCAAGCAGACGTACCTTCCCAACACGCGCCCGAGCAGCTACACGCCCTTCGACTAGGCGTCGGTCGGCTCGTCGACGCGGACCAAGATGAGCAGGAAGCCGTCGCCAGTCCGGATGCGGATCTCTGCGTCTGACATGCTGACCAGCCGCGCCCCGACATTGTCAAGGTAGCAGATGCCAGTCAAACTACAGCGCCACAACGTCAGGCGCTGATGGTGCCACGCGGACGCCACGGCCGTGCGGAGCGAGCGTCGCTGCGCGTGCTTGGCCGCCACCTTCTTGTTGCCGTTCCCGCCCACGTGGAGCTCCTCCGTCTTGATCATCGTCTCGGACAAGGAGCCGGACATGGCGAGGAGGTCGCCGTCAATGGCCGCGTGCGTAAATACCCCCAGCGACGACTCGCATCCTGCCTCCTTCAGCTCCTTCTTTCGCGCCTGCCTGATTTTGTACTGGCCGCGGAGCCGAGCGAGCAGCTCGCCCTCCTCGTGCGGCGGGAGCCGGGGTGTGCCCTTTGGCATGCCCGAAAACTTCGGCCCGTACGCGACGCAGCCAAAGGCGCGCATCTGCCAGCCTGGTGACACCGGCTTGCCGTTGTTGAAGACCTGGACGTTGGGCATATGTGGCGTTCAGGAGTGGAGAGCGGTTGGCTACGTGCGTCCCTGCGTCCCTTAGTGTCACGTTCCAACATCGAGTTTTCTGTCGGAGGCAGGGCGACGCCGTGAAAGAGTTTGGGTTGGAGTCTTGGAGAGAGAGAGAAGAGAGAAGAGAGAGAGTTGTTTGTTGGGTTGGTGGGGGTAGGTAGGTGGGTGGGGATAGTAGGTGAAATGCCGCACACCCCATCCTTGCGTTACTACTGAGTACGCGTAGCCTGGCGTTTGAGACAGATCTTCTTGGCGTTTGTGCTCCGATGTTCGTGCCGCCTGTCCTACTCCGGTCCTCTGCGCAATGTATTTCACCTCGTGACCAAGCCAAGCAGGCAAGCCAAGCACGCCCGGCTCTCGCTGGTCAACACATGCACAGCGCCGCCGAGCCCACGACTCCACAGCCGAGCGGCGCACACACTCGAGAAGAGATTGAGTCCATCCGCGTCGGCCCATTCACCCTCAGCGCCCGCGTCACGCTCGGCGACGACACGCTGCTCTTTGACGACGGCAGCCTCACCGGCGAGCCGTTTGACGACACCGGCCTCCACCGTGTCTGGCCAGCCTCCGTGGCCCTCTGCCACTCCCTGGTCGCGCGGCCGGAGGCTGTCGCCGGCAGGCGTGTGCTGGAGCTAGGCGCCGGGACCGGCCTGCCGTCGCTCCTCTGCGCGCGGCACCTCTGCGCGGCGCACGTGATTGCGACCGACTCCAACCGGGCCGCGGTCGAGCGGCTTCAGGCGGCGGCGATCGACGCGGCCGCGCTGCTCGACTTTGAGGACGCCGAGGCGGTCGCCGGCCTCGTCTGCGCTGAGCGAGTCGAGACCGTGCTCCTGTCGGACGTCTTTTACCCGGCAAAGGACGCGGCGCCGCTGCTCGCGCTGCTGCGCCGGCTCCTCGTCCTCGACCCCGCGCCAACCATCCTGCTCAGCGTCTCGCGGCGAGACGTCCGCGCGTGCGACGCCTTTGAGCGATCCTTGCTCTCGCTCCCCGGGACGGCGACGCTGCTGACGGCTGCCGGCGCTGCGGAGGCAGACGCGTCCCAGCTCCCTTCCCGCCGCCACCCCGCCCTCCTCACACCGGCACCCGCGCGCAGGAGGGGACGCGCTACACGGACCCGCTCTACGGCGATGTCGCGGTGCGGATTCACCGGCTGGAGGGCGAGCCGACAGGCGCCACCACGGCCGGCGGGCGAGGCGGCGGCTGCGAGGGCTGCGGCGGCGGCGGCGGCGGCGGCGGCAGCGGCGGCAGCGGCGGCGGCGGCGGCAGCGGCGGCGGCGGCGGCGGGGGCAGCAGCAGCGGCAGCAGTGGTGACGGCAGCGGCGGCGGCGGTGGCGACGGCGGCGGCAGTAGCAGCGGCGCCGGCGGTGGCAGCGGCGGCGGCGGCGGCGGCGGCAGCAGTTTGGTGGGCCGGCGGCAGCGACGGCGCCGCCGCCGCGGTCCCGCCCGAGTCACACCCTCCGCTCCGGCCGCCGCCGCCGCCGCTGAGCCGCTTGGCCGCGTCGTGGGATCTGGCCGCACGCTCTTCGCCTGCCGCGGCGATGCTGGCTGGCGGCTTCGCGGCTTCGAGTACGAGGATGTCGAGGCGCGCTCGTGCGCGGTGAGCCGTGCCGGCCCCCGTCCTCTGCCCGCCACCCTGTCCCCGATTGGCCGGCAGGTGCTCGCGCAGCACGCGCCGCTGCTGCTCGGCTGCGTGCGCGTCTCCGAGTGCGCGCTGCTGCTGCTGCCCGCCTCGCTCAACGGTGCGCGCCGCGCGGCGCTGCACCGCCTCGCCGAGGCGGGAGGGCTGCAGCACGCCTCGCTCGGGCAGCCGCCGGCGCGCCGCTTGCTGCTCGCCACCGCCGGGGCGACCGACGCCGCCGCCCTCGAGGAGGTGCTGGCGGAGGCCGCGGCGGAGGCGGACGCGGGGGGCTCGGAGCCTCCGTGGGCGCGCGGACCAGTCGCCTCGCCCCCAAGCGAGAGCAGTCGCGCTTTCCTCTGACAAGGCTCGCCCCCCCTGACAGGCGACCCAGCCGCCGACGGCTGAGCTGTGGGCGGAGGCGATGGCGGCGACGGCCGAGCTCGAGGCGGCGGCCAGCGAGACCGGAGGGGCGCTGCTCGGCATGGAGGGGCTCGAGGTGGACGAGGAGGAGGACGACGAGGAGGCGAGCGGAGTGACGGCCGGGCCGGCGGGCGTCGGCGAGACGATGGTGTCGAGGACGAGATGAGGCTTGTACCACCTTCGTAGGCATGTTTCTTGTTTGTCTGCAGCGACCAGCGTGTCTCGCACGTCGCACTCGCAGTTCGCAGTCGCACACTGGTCCGCGGCGCGTCCGGTCTCCCTCTCCGCCATCGAAATTCATTATTCCAATTTTGGCAAAGTCCAAACACCAAAGCGGACTCCAAGAGAGCTTAGTGCAAAGACCAAAAAGTGGCTCTATATACGGCTAGAGAGTATTATATGCAAGCTGCGTACCACAAAAATCACCACACATCAATCACGACACACAAAGCGACCAAACAAACTCCCGAACCGCGACAAAAAGAAGCATCAAAGACACAATATCACCCCGAGCGTGCGTACCAGGCCCACCGTGTACCGCGCCTCTCAAGAGCTAAAGAGAGGACGCGCGTTAGCCGTTACCCGAACGGGCCGCTCCTCGGCTTCGATCATCCGCCAAGCGCGTCGCGCGATGCCCCTAGTGCAGTGTTGGCCCCACAATCCGCTATCCGGAAACCGTCGAGCGCGGGCGGCTCAGGCCTAGCCTTGCGTGCCACCTCGCCCTGACCGCCCGCGCCAGAACGCCGCCGCCCGCAAGTGCCGCCAACGGGCTAGAGCGACGCCGCGGCGGGCGCACGCCATTCGAGCACGTGCCCTAGACCTGCCACAGCTTGCCGTCGTGGTCTTTGTGCATCGGCAGCAGGACGGTCGCCGAGGACCCGCTCGAGCCCCCGGAAGCGGCCGAGCCTGTGCGCGCCCGAGAGAAGCGAGTGAGCATGGCGGCGGTGTGGCGGTGGTGGCCAGGCTTGCAAAGGGCCGGAGACACAGCGCACCCGTCTCCCACGCGGCGCTCTCGTCGCGCCAGTTCGTCGAGTTGTACTGCGCCTGGAAGGCTGCGAGGTGGGCGTAGTAGACCGGCGCCTAGACAGTGACCGAACGGGCGGCCTCCGCGACAGCGCTCGTCGGGGGCGAGGCAGCCGAGCAGCAGGCTGTGTACCGGGCACGAGACCACCTTGGTAGCGCGCTGGTAGACGTGGCACAGCTCGAAGGTGAAGTCGTGCACCTGGTCGGCCGTCAGGTTGGCCTCGTCGACGATGACGTGGTAGTGCGCCGGCCGAGGGGTGCCTGCGGCGGGGGGGAGTACAAGTGTTGAGTCGGGGAGAGGTGCGCGGGGCAGAGGCGGAGCGGACGAAGCGTGCGGCCCTTGAGCGCAAAGTGCGGCGAGAGGTAGAAGTCGCCCGCCGCCGTGTGGTGCGTCGCGTCGGTCACTTCGCGGTCGACGACGAGTCCGTACGGCGGCTTCTCGTACCCGGCGCCGCGGCCGTCCGGCGTCCGCATGCAAAAGCGGGCGCGCGTCCGCTTCTGCACGACGATGTAGACGAGCTCGGGGCAGATGCCTATGCGCGAGAGTGGGCAGTGAGCGGGGAGGGCGCGGGCTTGTATGGAGGCACGGCGGGGCCGATCTCCGAGTTGCTCCATCGCGCTCTTGATCGCCGCCACCTCCTGCACCACCGCTGCACTGAACATGTTGTGCGCCAAGCCGTCGCGGTAGAAGAAGAGGCGCTGCACGGGGCAGTGGTTGCGCTTCTGGAACTCTTGCGCCGCGTGCACCATCCGCGCCTTGAGCCACTCCGCCGGCACCAGCTCCTCCTTGGCCTTCTGCGAGGTGACCTCGGTCGCCCACTTGGAGCAAAGGCAGTCGAGGGAGTAGCAGATGGCGGGGTGGGAGTCAGCGGTGCTGCCGCGGCCGGCGTGGTTCACGTCGAGGCCGATGACCATCGTCGGCTTCGCGCTCACCACCGATTTGCCCTGATTCATCGCCTTTGAGACGCCGTTTGCGCCGCCGAGCTTGAGGTTGACCTGGCGGCGCGCGGGAGGTGGCGGTGGTTGAATTGAAGGCGGCGGCGCCAGAGGAGAGGCGTGGCTGAGTGTGGAAGCGAGGTGGTTGAATTGAAGGCGGCGGCGCCAGAGGAGAGGCGTGGCTGAGTGTGGGAGGGAGGGGGCAGCGGGGGCGCGCCTTGAGAAGGATGCCCGCCGAGTACGACCCGTCCGTGCCCAGCACCTTCGGGCCCCTGCCGCCGCCCTTGCCGCCGCCCTTGCCGCCCTTGCCGCCGCCCTTGCCAAAGGGGGGAGCCATCTTCAAACCGTTGATGCACTGGGTGGGCACGCCCTTGGTGTTGCCCCACCGCTTGATCGTCGGGTAGAGGTAGCGCGCGTTCTCCGCCTCCTTGCCCGGCAGGATGGCCATGAGGAGGCCTACACGTAGACAAGAGGAGCAGGCGCTCGCGACGCGACCCTGGGCGCGCGTGTGTCTGGACTCGTGCGCGCTGTGCCGATGCCGCCGCGGTACGACTTGCCCTGCAGCCGATCCAGCTCGTCTGCGAGCGTCTTGTTCTGCTCGTACCGGCTCATGTCGTAGACGTCGTCGCGGTGTGGTTCCTCCAGGCCCTTCATGCCTACGGAGCAAGAGAACGCCAGAGCACTGGAGGGCGGACGAGGGGGCGCGGGGACGGGCTCTCGATGGGGGCGCCGCGGCCCGCCGCCATCCGGGCAAACGTGCGGGTGAAGGCTTCGAGGCCGCTGAGGTTGATGCCAAAGTGGACGATCACCCACCGCTTGTCGCGCGGCAGGCTCGCCGGCTCCCAAAACTCAATCTCGCCTGAACCAGGGGGGGGTGGACGGCGGGGTGAGTGGGGAGGAGCGGGGTCGGCCGGGTGGGTTGGGGCGCGCGCACCGCCCTTGCCGCCTCTCAGGTTCCAGCCGCCTTGGCCCTTGCCCCTTGTGTCGACGAAGACGTCGCACGTGGACTGCCCGCCGCGCGTCTTGAAGAGCAGCGAGTGGGGCGCGAGCTGCCGCGCGCTCTCGGGCTTGAGCTCGAGCAGCTGCGGGTTGATCTCGATGCCAAAGGCGCTGGAGGTAGGGCCCTCGCCGTGCGACACGGCCCTCACGATGTCCTCGATGGCGGGGAAGCGGAAGCCAGGCTCCTCCGCCATGTGCTTGATCATCTCCGACGACACCTCCGCCGTCTTCTCGGTGGCCAGCTGCAGGAGCGAGGTAGGCGGGCGTCGGGGATGACTGGCAGAGAAGTGGGATGGGCGCGGCCCTGGGCGGGAGTCAAGAGGGCGGGAAGCAAGCGCGCCTGCCCCGGGGCGAATGTGAGGAGCTCGATCGGGACCACGGGCGCGCAGCGGTCGCCCTTCGCCTCGCCAACCTTGATCCCCGGCTTGTTTGGGTCGATTTCGCGTTTGAACTGCGGGTAGTTGTCGACAAAGTACTGGTAGACGTTGGTCTCGTTGCCGTCGTCTTGCATGAAGGTGCGGTCCTTGAGGGCCACCTCGTCGATGCCGTGGAGCCGCTTGCACACGCCGGGGGAGTGCCGCTGCTGCAGCTTCCACCGCTGGCCTCCGCTCCGGAGCAGCTTGCCCTTGGAGGAGCGCGCGAGGTCGAAGAGGTCCTGATCCCGGACGTTGGAGCGGCGGTTCATCTTAACGCCGATCCACTCGAGGACGGGCATGCCCTCGCGCATCAGCACGAGGCCGGCGCGGTCGATCTTCGGCGCGGGGGGCGGGCG